CCATAATACCTAAGAATTTTACTAAATTGTTAGTATAATTTAGTATAATTATAATTATACTATTATATTATATTATTATATTATTATATTATTATTATTATATTATATTATTATATTATTTAGTATAATTTATAATTTTAACTTCAATAAGGTTAGGTTAGGTTAGGCTAACCTAACCTAGCCGTAATTTTTTAATAAAAAAAAAAAAAAACATTTTAATGTAAAAAAACTTTTTAACCTTTAGAAATATCATATATGTTTTTACCAGTGTCAAAATGTTTAAATAAAAACAAAATATCATTTTTAACCTACCTGCAGTATCTACTGATGCTGCAGACAGTCCTAATTCTGTATAAAAACGCGAAGGAAAATGAAGCTTTTTAAATTTAAATTTACATAATTTAATTCTAAATTTCGGGCCGCAATTCATATGCACCCCAAAAAAAAAACTCGGGCCGCAATTCGGAAGAAATTTTTACCACCGGACGCAATTAGTAGCCACCTTATATATCACCTAGATAACCCCCCGTAAATACGCCACTGATTACAGATATTATGTATACATATTTATTAATTAAAATAAAAGTTTTAGTTAATACGTATTATATATAATAATTAATATTTATAACTACACCCCCCTTCAGAAAATCTTAGCTACGCCACTGCTTTTTGGTATGTAGTATTTGTCATTCAGGGCATGTTTAAAATGGCTGAAAATTGTTCGAGTTGTGCATAGCCCTGACCAGTATTGACAACACTTAAAACAATTGCTGCATTTATTTTTATTGTTGATGTGTTTTCAATTCTGAACTTATCACTTCAATCTTACAACACATTTTGCATTTAAAAATAAATTGACTAAAATATCCTTTACGATTTTCTTTTACAAAATATAAATTAATAACTACAATTTATTCATGTATTAAAATATATTAAACCAACCCCCCGAAAATTGATCCTGAATACGTACTTGGTAATAGTGCTTTGATTTTTGACTTCAGCCTATCTTTGAAAAGGAAAATTAATCTAGTTGGTAATTTTTTTTTTTTGGGGGGGGGAACAAAAGTCTAAAATGTCCAGTAGTTTTCAAAAGCGTCAGGAAAACCCCTAAAAAAGTAACCGAAGAACGAGAATTTTTACACAAATAGTTTTCGACAAAATCGATTTATTTATTTTGCCGTCACAAAAATACTTAAAATGTTCACCAAATGTTTATATTAGCGTTATACATTTACAATTAAATTTTAAAAATATGTTGACTTTTTTTAAGCTATTTATAGACAATATTTTGTGTTTTTCTGTATTTTAAATAATTATTATATATTATTAAGTATAAAATTACTCCTACCTTTCAGGTTCAACTACACTTGTAGATGACATAAATGATTTATTTTGTTCTAAAATATATGCCTCTGAAATTGCACTGTTTTTAACTATAACATTCTAATTATACAAATTAAAAAATATAAATTTTTTTGTGTTTATATAAGTGTAGTTATTATAAATTATATTAAAATTTTACATTACCTATCTTTTCTAAGAATAGGTGACAAAGCTTCGGAAAGGAAATTGTCGGCACCCAAAGTTGGGGGGCTTAAAACTATGTCAAATGATTTTGGAATAGGTTTACTATATATCAAAATAAAAAAATAAGTATATAAACAATAATTTATTATATTAATACATAATATGTAATATTACAGACTATATTTTCATATAGTATATATATGGAAATGTAGTCTGTGTTAATACAGTTATGAAAAATATATTTTACCTATCTGTTATAATAATCAAAAAGTATCGAGACTGTTAAAAAAAAAAAAAAAATATTTATTAGATAAAGTTATTTAAATTCAATCTCCTTCAAAGTATGCTCCTTCTGAGTCCACACATGTTCACCAACGTTCCTGCCATTTTTGAAAATACCTGTGAAAGTCATTTTTAGAAACTCTTTGTAGCTCTTAAGTCGCATTTTGTTTTATTTCATCTACATTTTGAAAACGTTTACCCTTAAGCGCCATTTTTATTTTTGGGAATAAAAAAAATCACATGGTCTGGTGAATAGGGGGGTTGAGAAACAACTGGGATACCATGTTTGGCCAAAAATTGCTGCACAACATGAGCTGAATGGGTTGGTGCATTATCATGATGCAATTTCCAACTACCAGACTCTTTAAACTCGGGTCTTTTTCTTCGTACAGCGTCTCGTAAATGGCGAAGAACATCAATGTAGTACTCCTTTGTTATGGTCTGTCCTTTTGGAGCATACTCATGATGAACAACACCTTGGTAGTCAAAAAAAAAACGGTCATGATCTTCACTTGACTCCGAACTTGACGAGCTTTTTTGGGTCGTGATGAATCAGGTGTCTTCCACTGCGAAGATTGTACCTTTGTTTCTGGATCGTAGCCATATACCCAAGTCTCGTCACCAGTTTTAATTGATTTAAAAAAAAAATGTATGTCTATGAATATGTCTAATATATTTTCCCAACATATAAAGTTAGATTAATGTAGCACGTGCAAGTTCATACTCAAACCGGTTTACGATTAATCGTATCAGTCTCGATACTTTTTGATTAAACCTCGTATTGTTTGATTCGATTCCTGTAAAAGTACATTCAAATATTGGAGGGCTCAAAACAGTTTCAAAGGGTTTGGGAGTACTATAAATTAAATTAAATAAATATAAATAATCATTATTTATTTTATATTATTATCAGAGATGTATTTCAAGTTTTTATGGCCTTTTTTGTAATTCAGCATTGAGTTTATCTAAAATTACTCAGTAGGTGTTCACTTTTAATGATTCGCGACTATCAAAATGTACTTCTTCTTTAGGACTTTCATCGTATTGTAAGTTACTTTTTTTTCTTCGTTTAATTTAGAAGGTTTTTTATAAGCAAAAACACTAAGACATTTTCTGTCGTCACTCATTTTAACAAACACGTTTAAATTAATTAAATATAAAAAGTACAGACGATATAATACATAAGCTTTTTAATCAATCTGATCAGTGACTCCTAACTGATAAATGTACAGTGAACGTAGTAGGTACACTGCAAACAGAAATGGTCTCTGACCAATTTTGTACATAATACTAATAGTAATCATTTTATTATAAACGAGACATGTATAATTGTCTAATTATAAAAATTTTAGTTGATAATCGACGGTTGATTAACCGAACTCGAGGAGAAAAATAACAATGTTTAGCTAAAAATAGATAAGCACAAATATATTAGATATATTTCCGCCTATATAGCCACAAACTGTACCGATAGTATACCATAGTACATTGCTTATGCAATACTGTTGTTATTCAGCTATAACTTCTTTTACAAAAAAATAAAAGTGATTTATTTTAGGGTATAGAAAATAAATTTAAATAAATCATTTTTTTTGTCTCTAAATTACCAAATTATACAACATTTTGCCGTCTTTCATAAATTTGCCGTCCAGGGCTATAGCCCTGGTTAGCCCTAGGGTAAATACGACCCTGATTATTATGTAATATATACATATATATATAATTATAAATTATTTATTCACCTAGCTGTTGTAATATTATTTTTTGAAGATCCTTCAGTAAAAGTAAAACCAACACCCAGAATCGGTGGACTCAAAAAAGCCTCCACAGGTTTGGTGGAACTATTATAACAATTTTGTATAATAATATAATAATATATTATAATATACAACATAATAATCATTAGTAATTACTGTATAAATTATGCATTTTACCTTTCTATATGAAATGTTGTCTTTTTTTTATTTCGGTTTAAACGACTCTTCGTGACTTTTTTTTAGATTTTTTTTTGATAACATTCATCTAGTTTTTGTTGGCATCATTTTATTATTTATTTTTCAACAACTACTTATTAAAATCAATAATACACAAAATTTTTTAAAAAAATACATATAATAAAATATCAGACGAATACGGACAGTATGGTAGTAAACAGTATACTATACAGTATATAAGGGTTATTATGAATAATGATTTGTAATAATGAATCATTTATATTTTAATTTTATTTCAATAGTTTAATTTAATATTACTATAGGGCAGTGAAGTTATGTTAATTTTTTCATTACGTGAGCTTGTTTCTTTACTCTGAAACGTTAAAAACTCACTATAATATAAAATAAAGTTCTCCAATGTACCTACTAGTTTTTCTATAAACAAGTAAAAAATGAATTGTTAATTTAAATTTTTTTTAATACAATAAATTGAATGTGTTTTTTAATCACACAACTTCAATACCCTCGATATAAATATAAAACTGTACTGTAAAACTGTAAAACTCGATAACTTTTAAAATTAAATTATAGCACTACTAATTATGTATCACCAATTTTAACAAATTTGATAGTCACATACGAAAATAAAGAAGATAGCATAAGTGGATCTGATAAACAGACTAACCATTTATAGTGCGGTCCACGAAAAGTAGGCCGCGATCGTCACGCGCCTACCGGCTGATTTACGGTACGGGTTTCCAAACGTTTTCCCGCCTAATATAATTTCAAATCATATCGTACCTATAATGTAGGTACAATATAATGTAAAATAAAAAAATATCATATTAAAGTAAACATTAGACTATATTATTACATATTTTTTTTTTTACACGTTTTATAATTAAATAAGTCAAAAATAATAATAAAAATAAATATATATTTACAAATAGTTACAAAGTCGTTGTTGTAATAAAAATTAATAAGGTAATTCATTATCGTCGTTTTCATCTTCATCAGTCGAACTGTCATCAGGATTTATTGTAAGTATGATGGGCTCTAATATTTCATCCCTTAACCTTTCCTTTATGAAATCTGCATCTTGGAGTTTATTGCAATGTTCACCACACTTTGTCCAAACCTCTTTAGTTATCTCATCTAAGGCATTATTTACCAACACTTTAACATCTGTCATTTTGAAAGTGCTGTTTTTTTTCACCTTTGAATTCACCTTCACCATTGACTTGCGCCCAAATCAGCTCAATTGTACTGACAGTGGTAAGGTGGGAGTCTTACCACTTCATGATCCATTTGTAACGCAACTGCATCAAGTTTATATTTTTTTTCTCGAGGTATGGCCATTTTAACTTTTTCACGTAGTTCACACAATGTTTCTACCGGTGAATATGAAATGCATTTTTTTTCAAGCCATTTCTGAATATATGCCTTTCGCACGTTTGCTCTAGGATACTCTTCGGCTAGCATAGAATGGTAGGAAGCATTGTCCATTACCACAACAGACGGTTCTTCTAAATTGGCCAATATTTCAACAAACCATTTTTCAAAAATGTCCGCGTTCATTTGCGAATGGTAGTCTTCCGTACTACCCGATTTACATCGAAAGACCAATTTCGAATTGTTCACAAATCCAAATGAAGGTGAACCATCGTGGCATACAATGAGTCGAGCACCCTTTCCAATTGGTACTTTGAGTCCTTCGGTATTTTCTGGATTTTGCCATATGTAACCTTGCGTATGGTTTGGTTTACCCATGTTTCATCCAGGTAAAATACTGGCCTTGTGTCATTATTCTGTCTTCATTCGTACATTTTTCTTAAAAATTTTACCCGGCAAGCAACAATATCATTTCTCTCCATCAGAAATTTACGCCCATCATTACACTTCTTGTACTTGAAGTTAAAATTGTGTAAAATACGTTTAACTAACGTTTTTGAGCCAGGGTAATTAATTTTTTCTTTCATTGCCACTAATATTTTTGCGGTGGTCGGAAATCCACCTTTATCATAAAAACTATGTATAGTTCTTCTGACAACTTCGTTGTCAAAATCGTCAAGAGAACTCATTACTTTTACACGTTTATAACTTTTCCTAGGTGTGATTTGAAAGCAATTTTGTTAGAAGGTCCAACTTCAAGTTCCTTTTTCGCTTCAGAACAAACTTTTTTTACACAAGCGAGACTTTCGCCACATGCTTTAGCAGTCACATCACGGGTTTGTTGAAAACAATTTGAAAGTTCTGGCTTACTTTTATCAGCAGCTATCGTCTTGAAATAATTGTATACATGGAAAATTACTTTTTTCGTTTGAGAATGGATATCTTGATTGAATGCCATTTTAAAAATATGTATTTTTAAAAATATTTTACTGTAAAAAAACTGTAAACTTTTATTTTAAAATATAACTAACTATAAGGCAAAAAAAATTCAAACTTTAAAACCCGCGTTAATCACAAAACCAAAGTTGAAAACAAGAAATATTATAACGCAAACCACGGTACAATTTTCACGACAATAAGCAAACGCACGTGGAAACAACACTGAGTACAAGTAACGCGTAGGAACGATAATCAACGACAAACCAGTAAATCGACAAACCATACAGGACCAGGACCGGTTCTCTCCAGTACACACAATACAACAGGGATGACGAATATACAATAAAAACATCTGTCCTGTATAGTGTCCTGAATTCCTGACAATACAATGATACAAAAAATGTGGAACTGCTGCTCATCATATTTTAAAAAAACACGCACTCTTTATTTCCTAGCCCAAATTGTGAGCCCCTGGTCTAAGTAAAAATAGCCACCTGGCGCGTTAGTATCGAGGGACATTTGTTGTGTAACGTACTATAAAATGCGATGAAATACCGCGAAAAAACCATCTGTACTATAATAAAATAATAATAATACTCCCAAACGGAGAACCCCTGGTTTCACTAAAAACGGCCGATAGGCGTGTGACGATCGCGGCCTACTTTTCGTGGACCACACTTTAGTTGAAAATAATAAGTACGTTTTATTTACGAATATTTTTATTTTATTATTAGAGCCTAACCTTTTATTAAATATATATACTTGTAGTATATAAGTAATATCAGTTTTAAATTTAATTATTTTAATATATATCATTCAAACATTTCAAATACCTACAAATCGATATAAAATCGATACTCAAAATTAATATTTAACTATTACTGATTTTATACTTTTATAATATTGGAGGTCGAAGAATTACAGATATTATTTATATATTTGATAAAATTAGAAGTAGTGACCACGGTGGAGGTTTAGCTTGTATTTTTATTGATTACGAATATTTAAAAGAAACGTGGAATTTTATATGTAAAATGTGCTCCATTAAAATTATATTAAATTAGGGAAAAAATTGGGACTACATACCAATAAACCAAGCAGCTACTAATGCAAGCATTGGAATTGAAATTGGCTATTCACAGTTAAAAGAATATTCTGCTATTTTGGATATACTTGCATTTTGTAGTAGGGGAAAAGTGGGTAAGACGAGACATCGGGTAAGATGGAACATCACATTATCTCAATAACTATGCTTACACAATATCTCTCGGGAACATTTATTTTCAGTATTGCCGACACTGTCATTATAACGTTTTTTTTTAATGATAACAATGTTTGATAAAGAGAACGTGATATTTTAAAACCAAGTCGTTAGGCGATGTAAATTTTCTATATTAGATCGTAGTTGTTTGGTAAGTACTTGTTTTATTATTTTTTATTGCGATACACTAGTGTTGTAGTAAATTTTGTTGCGCATTTATTGGTTTCAACTGTAATAGACTGCAATTAATATTTTTTATTTTAAATGTACTAAAGTAATATAAAGCACATGAAGACAAGATGGGACATTTTAATAGAGGTAAAATGGGACGTCCCATCTTGTCCACACTTGTATTTTATAATACAATTAGTATTCTGATATTTTTAATTTCAAATTATCCTCACTAAATAACCTTTCTACATTAATTGCCAAGCATTAATAATATTATATAATATGTTAAAATAAATATTAAGGTTTCTATTACAAGAAACATGCCTAGAATAAGGAAAAGACTAACAAACACATTAAATCTAGAACCAACAGAAACTATAGAATTATCACAAGATGTAAATGAGTTAGTAAATATTTTAGATTCGCAAACTGTTGTAACTCCAATTCAAATCTGTATACAAACTAATAATACAATGCCAACTAAAGAAATTGAAAGTGGTCAATCAAACTTAATATCTTCAATTACTCCAGTCACAAAAAAAAAAACTTCATTTCCGCAAGTGTCACCGATGGAGGAAATTCCTATTCCTCAATAAACTTATGAGAACAAACTAAAGAAGAAGAGAAATGCTACAGCCAAGGGAAAAACTGCAATTCTTACCGATTCACCATACAAAAACAAGTTACAACAACAGAAACTAAATCAAAAAATTAAATTAATTAAAAAAGAAAAAACCATTAACAGAAAATTGTTTAAGAAACCTAAAATAAAAAAAAAAAAATAGAAAAACATTCCGATGAAGACGACGACACTGAATGTTTATATTGTTGTCAAACATACATGATGTCAAATGAAGGATGGGTTCAATGTGTAACATGCAAAAAGTGGGCACATTGTTCATGTGCTGGCGAGGACGATAATGATGATGAACTTTACCATATCTGTGATATTTGTAAGCAATAAAGCTTAACTACTGTGATAAAACAAACAAATTTGTGTTCCTGGCAAGTAAATATTAATATTTAAATGTTCCTTAATTATCTTAAGTAAATTTATTTTTCTATTAAAAATGTATAACCTTAAAGTCATTAGGATTAAGTTTGAAACAAATTGTTCATATTTTTTTTTATATAAATGTTAAATTCTAATTTGTATACTTTAAGTTATAGGACAAAATGTTTGAAAAAGGTTTATAATATGTTATTTTATTTTATGTTTTTGTAATACAATATTATTAATAAAAATAATAATGAATTTTTCTTATACAATTATATGTGTCCCATCTTAAACATGTTGTGTCCCATTTTACCTCCAAAACAGGGTAAGATGAGACATTTTGAATAAAACAGTTTAAACTATTTTCAATAATTTTCCTTAAACAGTTTTTAAACTTTTATTGCATATTTAGGCACGTCATAATATTTGTGACAATTTGGAAACATTTTTAACAAGGTAAGTTATAAATTGTTTAGTTTCTGTGAGTTTACGTATTAGATGTCCCGTCTTACCCACTTTTCCCCTAATACATATGAGTCGCATTTTTCTAAAATCAGTAAAGTCATTGAAGAATCTGCTTGGGAACAAATGCAACTTGCTGGTATTGAGGAAAAGCGATTAGCATTAGAAACTGGAGATATTGACTCGGACGAAATTCTTGTGTCCAGTAGTTGCCGATGGTCAATGGGGAAAACGCAGTTATAAAACGAAATTCGATGCGTTATCGGGAGCAGTAAGCTAAAATACCTAATTAATTAATTAATCATCCAATTAAATTTATACTTTTTTAATGAAATTATATTTTTAACTTTATAATCTGACACAAATAAGGGCCTAAAATAAAAGGAATTTCGTACAACACAATTTTATGATTTCACTTAATTTAATATGAGTTCTCTTTTTCTAAAAATAAAATACAAGTTAAAAAAAAATTATTTTATTTTAAAATTCAACATAATTTTACACCTGTCACCTGGATAAAATAATTAAAAGTATAATACAATTGTATTTAAAACTTTAATTTTCAAAGTTCAATATTATTTGTTAAATCATATTTTTCTTCAACTTCATCAAAAAACCCCTTCATACCTGTTTTTTTGCATGTGTATGTATTTTAGAATGTCTTTTTTTTTTCAACCAATTAAAGACAGCTGGTTGAAGATCAAACTCGTCTAATGCCGACATGTTTATTTTCACACACAGAGAATCTTTTATTACTGTGGGAGATAGAGAAGATCTTGTTGCAGTTTTTAATAAGTTGTAGTACGAAATTAATCTTTCAACATCTACCGAATGTGGTTTAGCTGATAGAATGCGAGCCTAAGAAAAAATACACAAAGTAATTAATCTTCTTCTTTAACTCTTTGAGGGTCAGTGGTTAGTATGCTAACCACTTTTTTTTTACCTTTCAAGTGCGGTGATTACTATATTAACCACCTTTTAAATTATTTTTATTATTTTTTTGACGGTGGTCAGTATACCAACCATCTTATTATCAGCTTATACATATATCAAACAATATCACTGCTACTGGTCTGATATCATTTCCCGCGTTATGTAATAAATTAAAAAACATACTTAATAGTTGATACACCGTAGTTCAGCACTATGGCTCTTGTATCGAAAAACACTATTACTGAAGAATTGATTGATCGCTGATCAGTGATTAATATAAAATACGGAAACCGACTGGTGACTACCGAGAAACGTAGGAAGTAAGTACCTATATATAGGTAGTAGTAATGAAAAGATAAACTTTAATCTCTATTTTGTATAGATATTATATTAAATAAAGTTGGGTATATGCCGTTATATTAGTTAATAGTCGGGAAACTGGTCGTTTGTGATACTCATTATTATAGCTGATCGTCGTTTGTGCCCATAATATGTCTATACATTTCATACACTCAAAAGTAAAATAATATATATCGGTGTGTAATATAAATGTAAAAGTAGTAAACACTATAATAAATTAATTTTGATATACGTATTAAATTTTTTGCTAAAGAG